AGGTTTTCTACAACAACCAGGTATTGACTTCGATGAAGTATATGCGCCTGTTGCTATGATCGAAACAATCGGGATTGTTGTTTCGATAGCTACATATAGAGGATGGAAAATGCACCAACTTGATGTGAAGTCAGCATTCTTGAATGGGCCTCTGGAAGAAGAAGTCTATGTCACTCAACCACCAGGATTTGACGTTAAAGGGCAGGAGTCGAAGGTTTACAGATTGAGGAAGACTCTCTATAGCTTGAAGCAAGCTCCTAGAGCTTGGAATAAAAGGATAGATAGCTTCCTAATCGAAGCAGGATTCATAAAGTGTGTCTCTGAACATGGAGTGTATGTAAATGATGTCGAAAGTGCGAATTGAATCATTTTATGCCTCTATGTTGATAACTTACTTATTACAGGAGCAGATGAAGCTGAGATAATGAAGGTAAAGTCAAAGTTAATGCAGGAATTCGAAATATCTGATTTAGGGAATCTTTCCTACTTCCTGGGAATGGAATTCAAAGACATTGAAGGATGAGTTTTCTTGCATCAAACGAAGTATGCTCAAGATATATTGAAGAGGTTCAATATGAGAAATTGTAAGGCATCTATTACTCCATTAGAGACTGGAGCAAAGTTGAAGAAGGAATCAAATGATGAGTTTGTAAGTTCGACCCTTTACAAATAAATCATTGGATCATTGAGGTATCTTTGCAATATTATACCAGATATCGGCCAAAGTGTAGGATTGTTGAGCAGATTTATGGAGAAGCCTCTGGAATTTTATCTCATTATAGTAAAGAGGGTGTTGAGATACATCAAGAGAACTGTTGATCATGGTGTGCTATTGCCAAAAGGATCGAAGAACAGTACAGAGGTCGAAGTGCATGGATACACTGACTCAAATTTCAGTGGAGATCAAGATGAAAAGAAGAGTATTACAGGGTACATCTTCATGATCGAAGGAGCTCCAATCTCCTGGAGTTCGAGGAAGAAAAGCATTGTGGCTTTGTCTTCATGCGAAGCAGAATATGTGGCTGCATCATATGCTGCATGTCAAGAAGCATGGATCGAAATGCTACTTGAAGAGCTCAGAATAATGGAGCCGAAGATGAAGTTGTTTGTTGATAACAAGTCAGCAATAAATCTTGCGAATCACCCAATGTGTCATGGTCGAAGTAAGCACATTAAACGAAGGTATCATTTTCTGAGAGACCCCGTAAACAAAGGGAAGCTTGAAATAGAACATTGCAAGACAGAAGTGCAACTAGCTGACATATTCACCAACCTCTGAAGAAAGTTAGATTTGAAGAGTTAAAGAAAGACATTGGGATGAGAAGTCTTGATAACATGAATTAAGGGGGTGTGTTAATTGGTTAATTCTTGTTAGTTGCTATTTGGGTTTTAGCTTGTATTTGGGCCTGGACATGTTGCCTATATAAATGGTCATTACTTTGTAATCCACATATACTGCAGTATCAAAATAACAGTTTCAGTTTTAAAGAGTTAGTTACACTAACTAACTCAACAATCTCTCTTCTTCTTCTTCTTCTTCTTCTTCTTCTTCTTCTTCTTGTTTTTCACTACGTTCATCTTTCTTGAATCTTTTGTTCCAACAATAATTTCTATCAATATAAAAATCAAGAACATAACTCTAAATAAAAGTCTTAAATTCATATTTGAATACATTTATAAGAATAAAAGCGGAACAGTACATGAATTTATCATTGAAAATCACTGAAGATTTGCGGGTATTTGATCTTTCGATTTATAGAATTTTTTATAGCTCCTTGATTTTTCTCTGATGGTGATGAAGAGAGAATTCCTAATAAGCCATTTTCTCGTTGTCTACAAATGGGGACCATAACCCCTATAAATAACCTTAGGTTATTTATTAGTATTCAATATTTTAATTTGGTCATTCATTAAATTAGATATTGACTTATGGTATCTACACGATAACCTGATATCTCATGACATTTATGCTTTTAGCTACAAACTTAATATTATATTAATTAAACTCCTTTAAGTCTTGACTAATTAAAATAATGGTACCAACACCTTAAATGTTACATTTGTGACCCAAAATTCTAACACGGTTGGTCTAATATCAAGTTTTGTCTCTATGTATATGTCTTAAATTTGGTTGGTCTGATCCTATCTCTATGTTGATCATGTTACATGTACCAATTTGTGATGTCAATGTTGGTTTCTTGCTATATATTTTGATGTGTTTTTGTGTGTCTATTAATAAAAACAAGTTGAAGATTCATCATTATAAATATACAAAAACGATGCTTTGGAAGACATGTTACACAGGTTACTAATGCCAAAGACGATGTTTTGGAGAAACCGTATGAGTAACATATGCAAAAATCTCAACTTACTCAAAATGCTCAACTTAAATTTTGTTCTTTGAAAGACATATAATTTTTTACATAAGGTATATAATTTTTGTTCTTTGAAAGGTATGTTACACTGGTTATTGATGCCAAAGACGATGCTTTGGAGAAATCGTATGAGCAATATATGCAAAAAACTCAACTTACTCAAAAAGCTCAACTTAATCTAAATAGATACCAAGTTAGCTACCCCACATTTTGTTTGATCTCTTTGTATATTTTCTTTCTTAATTCCTTCTATGTCCGTTTTTCTTAAGATTGTGTTTGGTAAGTACTACTTTATAGAGACGCCATATTATTTATTGTGTACTACTCTACATGACATTACATAACTCAAAATTGACTTGAAACAATACACTATGCGTGAGATCAGGTACAAGCCGTGTTATTTACTTAACCTCTTCAAGATAACTTATAACTTATATGAAACTAATTCGTCTTTATTATAATCTTTTGTTAGAGATATAACTTACGCATAAGTGATTATCATAAAAGCATCTTTACTATAATCTTTCATACATGCAGATTTTACGACAATATTTGGACCTTCATCTTAAAAGATGCTTTGTTTAAGAATAAAGACATCAAAGAGAAAGTTGGATGGGCTAAAATAGTAGAAAGTTTGGATCTTATTCGTTTTATATTTTAACAAGAGATGGCAAATATCCCACAAAAATGATGGAACTCAGCCGGTTTTGATACTGTTAAAAAAATTTATTGAATAATATATGATATAGTTGATAATTTTTTTCCGTTGAGATTTATGGGTTTCATCAAATTGTTAAAATGAATTTTGAATTGCAAAGATTATTCAAATCTGTTTTATGATACATAATTTAGTTAAGTTATTTTTAGTGAGTACTGAACTTGTAGAATTTTTTAATTTTCCACATGTTAATCAATGGTGAGATTGTGGAGTCATTTTCTAATTTATTTAAGCATTTATTAAATAAATTTTTGTCATGTAAACGGCTTATGCAATCAAATATAAAATCAGAGTAAATTTCATAAATTTTGTATAGAATATTTTTACAAATAATCCTACATACAATCGAAAAATAGTTCAAAAACAAATGTATCACAATTGTTTTTATACTCTTTTAAATATTTATTAAGTTTGTCATTCATGAGATAAATGCGAATGATCTTTCGAGCACCCAAACTTATATAATATTTTTGATTGCTCCTTTGTTAATTTTTAATTACATGTGTAATCTCAGTATATGAAAACGACAATTATGTGCAAAAAATATAAATTATTTATTTTATTTAAAATTTGAATGAAAGTTGTTTGATAGGTTAAATAATATGATGAACATTTAAATTGCATTAATATATTTCTTATATTTAATCATTATTAATCATATATTTTTCTTATATTTAATTATTATAAATCATATATCACTACAAAATTCTTTTTTTTTTATTAAATTTTAAATTTTTTTTAACAAAATTCAATTAACACTAAAGACTTAATATTTTTTAAATAAATATATTAGTTTATGAGTTCTTTTTATTTCTCATTTTATTTATTAATTTAACTGCGGTATATTTTTCATCTTAATGAATATCTTTTTAGGTATAAATTCACGGGTAGATGTGAACATAGCTATGAGATACCGATTGTAGAGTATTAATTTTAATGTCTATCTTTAAAATCTTTCTTTTACTTCTATTTTATATAATTGAAGTTATAGAATTAATTGTACGGTCTATTATAAATACGGATCAATATTTAAAAGTTTGTGCATATTATTAGTCTATATTTAAAATTAATGCAAATGATAACTAATTTAATAAACAAAAATAAGTTTTACAAATGATAATTTGATAGACATGTAATTTAAATTTAGACAAATAGTTTTCTTATTAGTTTAAGATAGAAAAAGCACAATCATTATTTTAGGAAACTCGAGTTTGACAATGATCTATCTAAAAAATTTATTTTAAAATTGCTAAATGATAGTTAATATTAAGAGGAGCTAAATTTGTGTAGTTACAATTATATTGTGTTTTTTTATCAAAAATGTGTTATAACATATTTTTGTAAAAATTGAAAGTTGGCAACTTTTGTAAATCAAACGAATGCAAAAAAGTAAAACATTCTATAAACAAACTCCACTCATAAAGAACAGACTTTTAATAGATGAAAAATGATAGGAAAACTTGTAAAGCATATATTTATTTAAATGAGAGCCTTTGAAGGATAAAGGCCAAAGGAATAAGCAATTATAGGAAGTAAATAAGAGACTTTAAATCGCCGAAAAGTGAAAGAAAAACTTGTATATGACTTTAAAAAAATACTGAGAAAGTTTTGGCAATGTTTTTTTTTTTTAATAGATCAAATACATTAATTATTTAATAAATATAAAAATAAAACTTTATCTCGAAAATATGCACACAGTACATTCAGAAGATACAAGTACATGACAAAAATAGAACTGATGCAAGCAAAAGTAACAAGCAACTTTACAAAAGAAAAATAAACCTACACCAAAATGTCCACCATGCTTATGCTGTTTTCACTATATAACCATACCCTGCAATTATAGAAGGACCACTCCAATTTGATTGATACCCTAACAAATCTGAATTATGAACTCCAGTTTTCAGTCAACTAAGTCTAACAGTGTCATTTGGTATAATGACATTCGGGTTTCTTATATGCGGTAGAGCTGTCGATTCCTTCCATTTTTTTCCAGAACCTAAAAGTCGTGAAGAAATGCTCCACAACGTTTCACCAGGCTGTACCTTTGTGGTAACCGGAGCAACAGATTTACCTGCAGCCTTTGACTTCATTGGTGGAAACTTACTGTTCTTCCCCATTCCATTCGCAACCAACCAGCGTGAACCGGATTGTTGCTGCGTCGACGTGCCCCAAAGCTTCTTTTTATGTGGCTCGGTTTTAAGACCTGCCACGTGAACTTCAGTAATCTTGAACTGAGGAATGAGTTCTGCTTCAGAAATTTTCTCTTCTATTTTTGTATCCTTGATCTCCTCCACCTTTGCTACGATATTGCCCTCATCATCCTTGTCATTGTTGTAGTTCCTTAACTCGGATACACTACAAAATATTTTTTGCTTTGGTAAAACAAACTCTCTTTCAACTTGTATAAGAGCAAGCATTGGTGTTCCAACTGGCTCATAGTTTCTCAGAGGGTCACGAAGCTGCACCATTAACGCTACTGTGAAATTGTTTCCTAGCAAACCGCATTTTCGACCCGAGCCTTTGCCTCGTCTCCTATCTCCGTTTTTTGAACTCCCACGGATAAAGTCGAAAGAGTTAGCATGATGGGCTGCAAGAAGTTTGGAAGTATGCTCACTGATATTATCTATATCATCAATGTCACCAGAATCAAGCTTCATCCACTCATCAAGAGTTAATGAAAGGCTCATTATCCCGTCAACACTGTCACTGTGACTGCTGTCTTTTACATCCATCAACTGTAAACCAGCAGCTCCTTCCATGCCGAGGGATCCGCTAAAATTAATGCCCTTGCCTTGGAGAGCTGACATTTCACCAATGGATTGTGCAACGATGTTAGATGGGGCCTCCTCCTCTGACATCCCGGATTGTATTCTCAATCCCTCCATTGAAAGCGCTTCAATTTTGTTCATAGCCAGTGGGGCAAGATCATCAATTGAAACAAACTCTGAGCCTGTTTGGTTGGCCACTGATCTTGAATTAAAATTGCCAGATTTCGGTCCAGATGGTGGTGTTCCGTTCAAGTCCCTTTGCACACATGTAGTATCTTGACCTGTTACTGAATCTTGTCGCAAATGACATGGCCTAAATAAAGCGAAGCAAAATTCAATCAAAAACATGTAAGAACAGCTTTTAAAAATTCTAGGCTTAATTACAAATTTGGCTCCTCTCATTTGCACTATGTGTAATTTTGGGTCCTCTAATTATGAGCAATTTTCTCCCTCAAGTTTATAATTGTTTTAATCAAGTCTCTTCATCACTTTTCATTTGTTTAAAACCCTCAAATTCTCATAATCTATTAAAAAAATCTAAAACCCTCAAATTCTCATAATCTATTAAAAAAATCACAAGTTGAATTGATTAAATTGCTGTAAACATTATTTCACTTAAAACACACCGATTAAAATATCAAAATTAACTAAATAAAAAGTCCCATTTTTTAAATCTCAAATTCTACAAATTTCTTACTTTTAAACTTTTATGTCTTATTTTAATCTCAAATACATCACCGAGCACAAAATATTTTGATAAAAAATAAGACTTAGTTGCAAAACAGGATAGACTAACCTCTCGGTTCCCTCTAAGGCCGGCATAGCTTCCCATGCAACTTGTTGCATTGTCTTCCCTGTGATATCTTCCAGTGGCATTAACTCCTTTGCCTGCATTGAGAGTTTTTCAATACCAACCGAAGCCAAACACTGTAACACTTCCATTATTCCAGAACCCATTTCTGCAGGTACAACAACAGGGTTCGAAACCTGCATGACTAAACTCCCACCAGCTTTAGTGTTCTTGAAAATTGACGGATTCATAGACCGTAGATAGCCCCCGTCTTTTGTCTGAAGAAAAGGGCCTAACCCCTCGGCAAGAGGAGGCAATGTGGGAAGCTCTTCAGGTGGTAATTGAATTGGACTTCCAAAACCAATACAGTCTTTAGGTGGAGAATGATGAAAAGCCTTCTCATTCAAACCCCATTCACGCATTAAGGCTTCAGTTTCCAAGTCTTCTAGCATTTGAGCCTTTTGTTTGCCCTTAACGTCCCGAGTCTCAATGAGATGCTCCTTGTTCAGGTTTTGGAACAAGGATGATGAATGAATAGCCTCAGAGAAATTCAACTGCTCAGATCCAGTAGAGGCATCATAGTCATCACCAGCTTCGTTGTCACAGTCCATATCAAAATCAAATAAAGAGAAGCCACCACCCAGTGATTCCTTCTCAAACTGTCTTAACAGAAGCTCTCTCGGAGACTCGGGCTCGTTTCCAGAATTTGAGCCCGCTGAACTATGGTCTATGTCTAGCATGCTTAAAAATTCATTTGCAACCGATTCTGTAACATCGTCTAAGCTATCTGTCTTTCTCATCTTATATTCAGTTCTAGATTCCAATTTTTTTGGAGATTCTAGAGCCACCGTCTCCAAATCTGAGACACTATTTATAGCAGCTTCTAATTCTTGCAGCAGTTCATTTGTGAATAAATCATCATCTTCGTAAGCAGATTCATCGGCCACCGTGTGATCCTTACAACCGTCATTTGCCTCATGAAGAGAATCATGTATAAAACTATCTTCGGAAGAAACTTGTAAACCTGCAGTATCTAGGATAAGAGAACTATCAACTGTAGAAGCATCTTCAGAAGCCTCTGTGAATGATTCCTCTACTTTAACGGGTTCAATTGGTGAGATTTCTATACCCTTATCAACGACAAAAAAATCCTTATCTTGACAGTCTTCGGGGTTTTCTTTTTCAGAATCAAGTAAAAGATAGCCATCTTGTTTATCTGTCTCTAGGTTTTCATGAAATACATCGAGTTCAGGTGTGTCAAGCACTGGAGATGTATTTCCATCGTTATCTACATGCACTTCCTGCATTTCTTTTTCAATATCAGATGAAGCACATGCATCTGGTTTAATTAACTCAATATTTTCTTTTGACAAATCAGGATCAGGTTTGTTGTCCACCGATCTGCTTTCTTTTTCCTCGTCAAATTTCTTATATAAGACGCCTATTGAGCTGGCTAGTGCAGACTTAGAAGATGGCAACACCTCATGAAGATCCTTTACCGACTCTACAGCTTGAGACGAGTACAGTCTGCTAAGGTTTTTACCTTGAGAAGCGTCTACGGGTAAAGCACCGTGAAAACTTCCAGTACGCCTCACACTGCTGCTTCCATCATACTGTCTCTGTTTAACATCTGGTTTCGTCAATGGAAGACTACCACTCTGCCTCGAAGTCAATACATTAGGAGCATTATGACCATCTTTGGTCGTGCTGGCGTTATCGCCAACAACCATATACCCAAAACTGACATTCATCACAGCACCCTTAGCCTTTCCTGATAACCTGAAACTAGTAGTCCACTTACCCGAGCTCTTCTCCTCCTCAAGCTCCTCCAGAGTAAGAGGAAGCAACCTCGTGAGATCCACTCGGTGCTTCCCCAAATCAAGCTCCGGTGCACTGAGAAGAGAAGCATATAGCAAAAAGTGCTTTGCTTCATACTTTGCAGAATGGTGAGGTCCACTCCTACTGCCGTAAACCGAGCAAGTATAAGTCAACTTCTCATCAAATTCAGCTACAGACTGAATCACTTTCGCTGATCGAGTCACTAAAACCCCGTCCCTCCTCTTCCAAAACACAGAAAAACTCGAACCATCAAAAGTAGAAGGCAACCCTTCAATCAAATGTACATGAAGATAAAAACTACAATTGAACCGTTTATTTCGGATATGCGAAAGTGCTTTCAATGGCCTCCAATTCCATATAGACCTTTTATCCTTCTGCAAACCATCATTATCATCATTATTATTACTTCCTTTAGCCTTTGGTTTTGAATCCGGAAATACAGATTTTCCCGTGGTTTTAGCTCGAGAATTCGAATTCGAACCAGATACTGAACTCCTCGAAACATTTTTGTCCAAGTGCATAGCTTTATTCATAATGTCAACATCCTTTAACAATTTCTTCTGGTTTCCAGAAACCAAACTATTCTTCTTACTATCCATCCTCGACAACATCGTCTTTTGCCCATACAAACAAAACAAACAAAAAATAAATAAAAAACTTTAACTAAATTAACATTAATTCAGATGAAACAGAACCAAACCCATAATATATATTTTGAAAAAAAATTAAAAATTTAGCATACAATTAAAAATAAAACAAATTAATCACAATTGATTATCAAAAAAGAACCAAACCAAGAATTTATATTTTGAAATAAACTATAAAACTGGCATAAAATTCAAAATAAAACAAAATAATTACAATTCATTGACAAGAAAAGGGTTAATCGATTGAGTACCTGAAGAGAAAGGGGATAAATTTAGGTCAACAAATTGAATTTGTTGCAGATTAGGAAATTCCTACTGAAATTGAAATTCAAAAAGTGTGAATGAAAAAAATTGGATTTTTTTAGTGAAAATTCAAAGAAAATGAAAATTTGGGAAAATGAAATCTTACATTATAGTTGCGTTTTTGAGAGATAGCAGAGCTTGGTTATCTTCTTCTTCACCCCACTCTCTCTCTCTCACGATTCTCTCTCTAGGAATTGCCGCTACCTCTTTCAAAATTAAAAATCGAAATTTTTTAACATTATTGGAAAAATAGGAATTCGAAACGTTATTTGTATTTGTCCAAAAAAATTAAGGAAAATAATATATTGCTAAGATAATAGAAGGAAAAAAACAAAAAAACAAACAAAATTATTTAATTCTTTTTCTTAAGTCTATTAGTATAAAAAGGTAACCTTTTTAATTGTCGTAGAAAAAAAGGTTGAATATACTTTACCTTGCCTGTACACTATATTTTTAAGTTACGTGTATTAAACAAGTCTTATTCTCTCATGAGAATATTTATGCATTATGTGTTTTTCAATAGAAAAAAGGATGATAATAAAGATTCTATATCCGATTTTTTTTTCTTCTTTCAAACGGATAGGATACACGGATATTGATATGAAGGGTAGAATTGTCATCAATTTATTGTGAAATTTTAAATATAATTAGTTAAAATTAATTTTACATAAAAGTCTAAAAAAAGGAATGATTTAAAAGAATTAACTTTAATGTTGTATTTATAAAATTTTAGACTATAGGAGGAGGGGGATTTGGGAATCAAAGATGTATCCGGCTTTAATCATGCGCTTCTTTGTAGATGGCTATAGAGAATTGTATCGGATGAGTAAGCTCTTTGGGCGAAGTTGTTGCAACAAAGATACGGTCATTTAGGGAGGAAGTTATGGAGTAATGAGGGTTTGAAAAAAAATTCTAGAGACTCCTAGTGGTGGCGAGATTTAATGTTGATAAAGGGAACCGAACAAAATCTAGGGTTTATGCAAAGTCTCACTTGGCGGTTAGGAGATGGGAGAGTTATTCCATTTTAGACATCAAAATCAGTGTTTTAAAACCCAGCCCGACCCGGTGTTGGCTGAAGATTTTGATAATATTATTAGAAGCCAAGTGAATTGGACGTTTCGATTGAAATGAAACAAAGCGTCATGTTTCGAAATAGCAGAAGCAGTGTTTCGAATGAACATATCAAAGCTTGGAGCTTCGAGTGGCAATTATGAGAATATATCCAAAGAAGTCTCGAAATGACAACAAGGCTGTATCTAAGGAATGCGTTCGAAGCGAGGAAGTGCCAAAACATTTGAAATTCAAATGCAAGCGGGATGTTCGAAATTTGAAATATATGCGCTGAAGCATTCGAAGACACGTGGAAGCAAGAGAGGCATTGCTCTGCATGTTCTGAACGTGGCAGAATCTTATAGCGAGACCGTTATGGTCGAAGTAGTATAAATAGGAGTCTTAGCATTAGGATTTGGTGTGTCATATCTATTTGTACAAAAAAAACTCAGTAAACATTCAAATTACCACATGGCTAGGGAAACGAATGCAAGAGCAATGTACGTATGATAGCACCACATGTTTATGATTTAATGAAAACCTTTTATCATTTCCAATACTTTCCTTTATCCTTTTGTCAAATACCATTTACAAGTTTTTGCATCTAAAGTCTTTTCATTCGAAATCTTTTCATTGATGCCTTACATTTAAATGCTTTCTTTCCATTTCAAACACTTTACGTTTCAGAAACTGTTATACATTTCATGTCTTTATCTTCAAGTTTTTATCATTCGAACGCCTCTTTTTACTTAAAGTCATTTTACAGATTTCTTGCATTAAACGCTTTCTTCATAGTTCGAATCTTTTACATTCCAGAGCATCTTTTACATTAACTGTTTTCTTTATGATCCGAAGCCATTTACTTGTCTTTTATGAAGTTTACATGTCTTTACAATTAACTTTTATTCATGCAATTTAGTTTCGCGCACATATATTTTGATTATACCTTTAGATCTTTAAGAGAGAAATCGAAATAAGTCAAACACCTACACAACACTCTAAATACCAACCATGAATACTTGTTCGATCATGAGAGTTACCCTAATGACCAACACGTCCTAGGATCAATCTAGTCGATCCTGCGAGTTACCAGAGGAATTGAATAACAGTCAGTAAGTTTATTCGATAGTTTGGAAGACTAGCGGTTGTTTACCAGAAATCACTGGAAACAAATTGGCACACCTAGTGGGACCAATCGTTGGACATTAGAAATAAAGATTGTTGAGACATAACCATTATAAAAACGTTGGAACCTAAGAAGTTTGCTGTTTTATGAACCTAAGAAGTGGTAAAATAACCAACAGCAACCAACCCTTATCCAGAAGAAAACGTTTGAACAAGATGTTTAATTCTGACAATCAACAAGGGGAACAAAATGCCCCACATACAACAGGCACTAATGTGTCCGCTTCGATGGGAACGTCTAATGTGACCCCTTCGAATGCACAGTTTGTTGCATCTTCTACCAGTAATATAGCCACTAATGGAGTAAGTGGTATATCAACTAATAGTTCGATCTTAGGAAATACTGGAACCATTGGTTATCCTGGGGGATTCGTTCCACCATCAGGAACACAAACCCATTTCGCCACGCCACTAACTAGACCACCCAGTTTCGATGGTAATAGAACCAGAAATTCCTCTTATGGAATGCCAACATCTTTTATGGCAGGTTTACACAATTCCACATCGAATTCATCACCACAATTAGGGTCTGGGTCTGGGGCGAATCAGTTTATGACAAATAACCAAGGGTCAGTGGGTTATAGCACAATGCCTATTTTAACCACAGAAAACCAGTTGGCTTTTAGGCAATTGATGGATGACAGTAACCATAATATGATAGGGGTGTTAGCACAAACTATGCAGGAAATATTCGCCCCAATAGTACAAAATGTGACTGTGACAAACAGAGAAAACGCTGATAACATGAGTCGAATAACAGATTTCTTTGCTCCCCCAGAAAGGCGTAGGCAGAATCAGGCGGAAGTTCGAGCAAACATGCCTGTTATGGAACAAATTGCTAACGACCCAACTTATAGACCACCTAGAGAAGAAGTTAACTTGGGGGCAAGGGTGCAAAGGCTAGAAGCCCCAATGATACCAGGCCCACAAAGAGAAATTATGGAACCAGGGGCAAGGGTCGAAAGGCTAGAAGTCCCAGAGTTTCGAGAAGAACAACCTAGGGGGGTTGTCATGGTGGGTCGAAATCAAGATGCTGATGCAGTCGTTCATAGAATTCGAAACGATAACATCTTGGCAGAAAACAATTTAACCACCATGATAGAGAGAGTCATGGCCCAGAATGGCCTCAACACAGGAATGAGAAGGCCAAATTATGCTTCTCCTATATTAGATTGCATAATGCATACTGATTTACCAAGGGGATATAAAGTCCCTAAATTTACAAAGTTCGCTGGGGATACCAATGAGTCAACAGTCGAACACATAGCCAGATATCTAACCGAAGCGGGAGATATAGCCAATAATGAAGATCTCAGGATCAAATACTTCCCAAGTTCCCTGACTAAAACGCCTTCACATGGTTCACCACTTTGCCTCCTGGGTCCATTGATACTTGGGCTCTTTTGGAGAGATTATTCCATGAACAATTTTACATGGGACAGTCGAAAATAAGCTTGAAGGAATTAGCCAGTGTCAAGAGAAAGTTCACCGAACCCATAGATGATTATCTGAATAGATTTAGGCTTTTTAAATCCAGATGTTACACAGTAGTGCCTGAACATGAGTTAGTCGAAATGGCCGCTGGTGGCTTGGATTACTCTATTCGAAAGAAACTAGACACTCAATATTTGAGGGACATGGCTCAGTTAGCCGATAGGGTTCGACAGGTCGAAAGGCTAAAGGCCGAAAAGGCCAGAGTCTTTAAGAATAACAAGAAAGAAAGGATCTCCTATGTTGGAACTGAGGAAGCAGAAGATTATCCTGAATTCGAATTCGAAGAGGTCGAAATCGACCTCGCTGAATTAAAACAGGCACCGCCCTACTCCTGCAAATTATTGGTTCCCACAAAAGGGAAAGAGATTGTTGAAAATGAGAAAAGTGACAAATTCCCAAAGAAGGTTTATACCTTTGATGTCACTAAATGTGACGAGATTTTTGATTTACTTGTCAAAGATGGCCAACTCATTGTGCCATCAAATGTCAAAATACCTCCTTTAGATCAAAGAAAGAAGAGAGGATTTTGCAAATATCATAGTTTCCTAGGCCACAAAACCTCACAGTGTTTTCTTTTCAGGGACCTAATTCAGAATGCAATCAAAGATGGCAGACTGAAGTTTGCTGATAAAGCAAAGATGAAAGTGGACGAAGATCCCTTGGACGTCGCAGACACCAACTACTCCGAGCCTGCATGCATTGGAGAGATTAACATGGTGGAAGCTGACCAAAGTGATGTCCCAACAGGAGAGAAAGGTACTAAAAATGAAAGCTGGGTGATGGTCGAAGTCGATAAGGAGGTCACTGAAGACGTCCAGAAGCTACCAGAGACTTCGATTGAAGCAGCACCCTTAATTGTTGCAAAAGAAATCCAGGCTACTGAAGGCCAGGAAAGTCAAAACCAAGAGTTAACACAGGTCACTGAAGGCCTG